TTACATCTTCTTTCTTACCATTTCAGTCACCGTCAACACTTTGCGGTTATAACGCAACATGTTGCTACTTTTATATCAGGTGGCTACTGGTTATTTTCTAAAATTCACAAACATCCTGCTTCGTTCACTGACACCAGAATGCAGGGAAGGATGGAAGTAGGAGAGTGGTAATAAAAAGTTACTTTTATGGTGTTCAGCGGAATGATTCACAATCCTTTCGCCATTGACTTTTGTTCGCCTTTTGCATATTTGAGTTACTTTTGCAGGTGTGATTGGTCCAGCCGTGATGCCAGCAGTTCCGTGCTTGCCTTTGCAACAGCTTGGAATTGCACAATCGTTTGTCCCGCAAACTTTGCAAGCTAGCAGCAATAGCAGTAGCATCGATTTGTCTTCAGCATTCATGCTGCAGAGCGCAGATGAGGCTTCATCGTCAGGCAACAGAAGGCGCTGTAGCAGAAGCAGTTTTACTCCTGGTACAGCTACTACGTTACCATGCATTCCAGAACATTGGTGAGACGGATGTTCTAGGCGCTCGACCGTATCTGACGAATGTTGATGGAAATTTGAACCATTTTTTACCACGCTTCTGCAGAGCACTTAAGTCACTTCAAAAAATTATGCTTTGGACGATCAAGTCCGTGCTTACTGGGACTGGCTAAGCGGATGTATAGAAATACTGTACATGATGAAATAATAAGTTTTGAAGGTATAATTTAATAAAATTTGGAGTAGCACATATTTAAACAGTTAAATAGGAATTTTTCGGTCCATACAGTCGTATACATTCTTGTCGAACACCTCAACTGAATCTCATCAGTACGAAGGTTGCGACTGCAAATAATTTTGATTGATTTTAAGTAAATTAGAGATAAATAAAACAGAAATTTAAAAGAAAGATAATGGGAAAGCAAAAAGAAACAATGTCGAACTAGCTGAAAGCAAAGCCAGAGGAGTTCAGTAAAAGCAAAGCAAGCACATGTAAAACAATCCAGGTGAGTCGAAATTATCGTCTGTTGAAAGCGAAGTTTTTCAAAATTTAAGATCAGATATGCGGGGAAGTGCGTCAATATAGTGTCTTCAGTTCATCGGTATTTATCGAACATTACACCTAAAGTTGCAGAGCAATTGCAAATGCTGGAGGAAAAGTTTGCGGTATCGCCGTATCCGAGAGCATCTGAAAGATCGAGTCTTGCGCAGAAGACAAATCTTTCTGAAGCTAGAATACAGGTGAAATTCGTTTCCTTTAAGAAAACTAGTTAAGTGTGAAGCGAACGACGCAACTGTCGCCGCAATCTCTCTTAAGCAAGCCCTTCCGCTCGTTGCTCGAAAAGATGCTAGTGATGATACACACAAAATATAAAAATATATTTAAAAAAAACATACCTGCGATGATGATGATCACTGACCTTGAAAAGCGAGACGCCATCGGCACAACAAACACCGTAGATTTATTATTCACCTATCGATATCGAGATTTTCGAATTTAGGTATGGTTCTCAAATCGTCGCGCAAAATGGCGCCGCATGAGGCAGGAGGGGTCAAGTTCGGAAGCGAATGATGCTGAGGCAGAAACTGATCGTTCAGGAGCTATGCGAAAGCACAGCGGCCATTGTGAATCTACTAGTAAGAGCGGAGATGCATACGCTACAAATATTATTTCTTATAGGCCCTATCAGTGATTAAGCCAAATATATGCTTTTTGCTATGAGAATATGTGTTTTTTGTGCGAGCACTGATGACCAAAGCTAGAAAATGACCAATGTAAAACTTTGCTGGTCACTTATATCGATATTCTGAAGGTTCCGATGTAAATAAGACAAAGCCAGATGCTGAGTGAATTTTTATCAGAATCTCATATTCAGGGTTATAATCATCGCTTATCCTTCATCCCCATCCTGTCCTTCCACGTGTTCGGGAATCAAGGCCAGATGTAGTTTCTCCGTTTTTAATTACGCGCAGAAAAAAGATTTTCGTTTCAAAATGAACATGCGTAACTAAAGTTTGAAACAAAGATGCAAATACCTTTCAATTTATCGTTCCTTTTTTCACGTTTTTTGTGTATTAATAAATCCTTACAAAGTGTATTAATAAAAAGTATTTTAATAAATCTTTCATGATTTACTACTGTTTTTCACTCCAACATATTTTTTGTGTAATGCTAATGAGGCCCTACGAAACGCAACCAAGATATAGGAGGATTCAGGGGCGGGGGCAGGAGAGGGGGAGAAAGGGAGGAGGCGGGAGGTCTTTCGCCCCACCGCACCCACCCACCTCATCAGCGGCAAAAGCACCAGCGATGTTGCAAAAGCCCGAGTTCGTTCATAAATAAAATTAAGGTAACTCTATTCCTAGTTTTCTGCATAGCTCCAGGGAGGAAGTGGGCTCTCCCCCAGAAGTGTGCATTGTTTGCAAAGAAGTACAATTTCGCCTTTAAATTCGCTCAGATTGCAGACTACCCTATGTGAGCTACAGTCTTTCTGAAAGCGTTACAGACTGTTCCTAAACTAACCAAGTCGCAATGCCACGCGTCTTTGACTAAACCAGATGATCCTGGATAAGAAAAGCTTGTGTTCATCTCCCGTTTTCCACACTGTTTCCTCACCACGCACTTGTTGCTTTACTTTCTTTGCATCTTTTCTGAGCAGGATAAGGGAGCGCTCACCAAAGAACCCGCGGCATACGTGCTAGAACATGCATAGGCGGGTCCAGGATGGCCTCCTAGGGGGGGAGAGGGAAGGGCGACGAGCGGAAGAGGAGGGGGGAGGAGGAGAAGAGGAGGAACTACCGGTGGGGATATTGGCGAGGAGAGGGGGTCGAATCTGACAAAAGGATGATTTATCTTGTTGAATCACCATCAGCAAGCAGTCTTTGAATTTTAGGTAGTTCCAGAAAGGACATATGAGTGATTGCAGTAATATGTCGGAGTGCAGCTCGCAACGCGGGACTGTGCTGTCCATTTGCCTCTGAATTTTCGATTGTGAAACAATTTACGCAATATCTTGATGTGCTGTAAAATGTGAAAAAAGAGCAGTTTTAATGATAACTGCTCCCAGTGAGCAACGAATCAGAAAGCAATCCGTTCGAAAAACAAAAAAGTGCTTTTTGATCAAAGAGCGGAAAAGCGAAGCAGGTCTCGATCGTTGAGCAAAGTACTCCCCGGCTGCTCGCTTCACACCACCAGGGAACGTTCGTCGGCGACACTATGAAATGCTGGCAAGAAATGTAATTTCAGTACCGATGAAAGAGGAAAACATGCTGATAAAGACTGGAAATCAGTGCCCCCCCCCCCTCCACTACGGTCCACAAATTGCTCAGTGGACTGCAGAGCCTGGTAAAAATGAACAGCTGCTCAAGCTCACCCTCGTATCGCGCTGTAGTTACAGCACTCGATCCGAATCATATCATCCGCATCATGTGAATGAATGCACAAAGCTTGCACCCACCCCCTGCCCCCTTTTCAGTCAAGAAAAGCAAACAAACGGAGAAGTGCATGTGATGTAAAACTGTATAGACCTGGTGCTCAGCGTAAATTCCAGTAATTTTGTACGACGACAAATTTCACTCAGTCACTCGTCTGCCTCAGCGTAGAAGAGGAGGAAATTGCGGAGAATCCCGGCACTTACTTGGCGAGGAAGTACATGTTTCCAAACATAAAATGTTTGGAAACGCCGCCGGAACAATTACACTTTCAGCCGGAGGTGCTCCTCAAATTCTATTTTTCACTGTTCTGTTATGAGTGAAAACGAGCAAGCTAATACAGTTATTATTATTATTATTATCATTGATAATATTGCTAAAGACAAATGAACACATTCAATGAAATATTATCACTGCTACAACCATTAAATCCCTGTACCTGATTTTTGTTACTATACATTCACAGTAATAGCATCCCAGAGAACACTTTCTCTTTTTTTTCACAGCTTCTGGTTAATTTAAGCTGAGCAAATTGAAATAATTTTATGGAAGACTTAATAAAAAAAAAACGATTATTTCACATCTAACAATCATCGTTTGAAATTTCCTAAAAAAACCAAAAACTCCCCTAAATGTGGAAAAAATAAGCCGTCATAGAATAGCGGTGGAAAGAGGGGCATGATTGATCACAGGACGCTGCACATCGAGGTAGGGATACATTGATATGCGAGGATAACACAGGGGTAACGCTGGAAGCAGTCCATTAACATAAGGATCAACTGGTGGATAAGACTGAACAGGCGAACTTACAACTGATGAGTTTGAGGACGAGTCGGACGAGACGGAAAGTTTGGTGCTAAAATTCAGGCATGATATGTTGTCGGAAGAGGACGATAAAAGTCCAAAATCGATATCGTCTATTGCTGAGATCGTGCTTGCACTTCCCGGGCGAGATTCTTCGGTCGATGAAGTCTTCTGAGATTGGAAGCTTTCAATCACAAGGCGCAGTGTTGCGCAACGTTTCTCCAATTGCTGCTTTCGTTCCTCCGCATCATTCAC